TTATTTTCTGTACAAAATTTATAATATTTCCTGTGTGAAAGATACCGCTTTTTTGCAGAAACTCCTACTTGAAAATTTATACAAAATGGATAGTGAATTGCAGAGATTCATGGCAGTCCAGGAATCTCATTATCAGACTTTCTAACACCTGAGCAACAGGTTTTTAGACCATTCTTCAAATATTTTTTGAAATTTTTGCATTATTAATGAGGGATTGCTTTTTGCATTATTAATGAGGAAGGTGATATTGTAGCACAGCTGTTTAATTGCTACCAGCAATAAGTCACTACCAACCAAAAGGTGGTAAGTTTAAAGCCCAAGTTGGGGTTGAGCTCCTAATTTTAAATAGCCCAGCTTACTGTTCACCTAAACAGTTTGAAAACAGAGGAAAAGTGTTCCTGCCATACATCAAGGGAACCACTGACCGCATTGGGAAGCTGATGAGGAAACACAACATACAAACAATCTACAAACCCACCAAGAAAATCCAACAAATGCTACGTTCAGCAAAGGACAAGAGGGATCCTCTCACCTCTGCAGGAGTCTACCGTATACCATGCAGCTGTGGACAAGTCTACATAGGGACCACCAAACGCAGCATTGCCCAAACACGCATCAAGGAACATGAAAGGCACTGCAGACTACTTCAACCAGAGAAGTCAGCCATAGCAGAGCACCTGATGAACCAGCCTGGACACAGCATATGATTTGATAACACAGAAATGCTGGACCACACCAACAACCACCATGTCAGACTACACAGAGAAGCCATTGAAATCCACAAGCATGTGGACAATTTCAACAGAAAGGAAGAAACCATGAAAATGAACAAAATCTGACTACCAGTATTAAAAAAACTCTAAAATTACAACAGCAAAACAGCAGAGAGGAAACAACCAGGCACATCTTAACACCTCTCAACAAAAGATTTTCCCAGGCTCAGCCAGGCCTTCAAATGCTAATGAAGGTGGTCAGTTGAAACATTCACACCTAGCTCCAGCAGGGAAGAGCTCCTTGCCCCACCCCAGCCATTCCACAGATATATAAACCCATTGTCCTATTTCCAAAAGACCTCACTATCTCTGAGGATGCCTGCCATAGATGCAGGCGAAACGTCAGGAGAAATGCCTCTAGAACATGGCCCTATAGCCCGAAAAAACCCACAAGAACCTAGTTTGAAAACAGCTGTGCTGTGAGTAGAGAAATTAGGGTCTGTTTAAAGCGGGGAGGTTAATTTATGACACCATAAAAATACCAGAGAGCAAGGAGGAAATACTATGATCAAAAGGCTCGGCATTATAGCGGATGAAGCAACAGCTCCCCCATGGCCGGAATCGAGCAACCTCCAGGATCTGAAGTGGAAGCAGAAAAACTGCTGAATGACCTCTGAATGTCTTGTATGTCAAAAACAGCACTGAATATTTGCCGTGTATGTGTGCATTGTAATCCACCCTGAGTACCTTTTGGGGTGAGAAGGCCGGAATATAAATACTGTAAATAAATAAATGCACAGAGGAAGTGTTAATTTCCTCCACCACAGCTGTCAACAAAACAGAACTTAGATGGTAACAAAGACATCCTTCATTCAATGTGCGGATTGGCACCTTTGTGCCCACTCCATTTGAAGAAGATAAAAGTTGATGGACTGTGATGGACTGCCCTTAATCCAATGTATTAAAGAGAGGTTGGAGAGCTACATATCAAGAATGATTTAGCTGTGGATATCCTGCCCTTAGCAATCCTTTATTCAAAAGTAATCACCTTGTGTTCAGACATAAGGCTCCTTTTCAGACTCACTGGCTAATTTCTGTACCATTTGACAATGTGGTTGTCTATCATGACCTAATATGACTTCCTTCACATGAAAAACAACATTCCAAAACTGAAAACCCTCGGTTCATTGAGGATTTGCACATTATTCTGAACCCTGATATTTCAGAATTTCAGATTGCGTGGTAAGCTTTTATGCATAGACCACGACTTTTTGCCTCAGAAAGGTGGTCACATTTTATATAGTGGGATTAAAGCACTCTTCCCTTTTCATCTATTTGCTATTTACTATTTACATAAACTGGCATGAATGCTTGAATGTTTTCTGAGATATAAAAAAGCCCATTTTCACATGAGAGTTTGTAGGTGTGAAATGAAGAGTGCTCCACAATACTCAAACATCCAAGGTCGGAAAACATGCATTTACATGAGCAGGTATGTTTGTTTGGAGTTTCTAGCAGACTTTATTCTTTGCACAAATACACAAACACAAAATGCTAATCAGTATATATGTAATGGAGATCTTGGGAACCATTTTGTCTAACAAGTTTCATTCCTGTAAAAACAAAACATATATTGAAAATAGAAGGGAGAAGGGCTTGGGCAAATTTCAATTGTAGCACAATTGCTGTAATCACAAATGTTCTATGCAACATACCTTGGCAACAGCCACACCCAGGCAACAGAGATGTACTCTGTTGCATCTAATGCTCATTTAAAATTAAAGATTAAATCACAAAAAATATTATATGAAAACAAAATGGAACAGATATTGAAATTCTGGCTACCAGTCTGGTACCGGGCACAATTCAAAGTGCTGGCTTTAGCCTATAAAGCCCTAAATGGTTCCGGTCCAGCTTACCTGTCTGTACATATCTCACCTTGCTCTCGGTCCTGCCTTCTTCACAGATGCGTTTGGCAGGAACAAGAGATAGGGCCTTCTCAGTGGTGGCCCCTCAGCTGTGGAATGCCCTTCCCAGGGATATTAGATCGGGCCCCTCCCTCTTAACATTTTGCAAAAAAGTTAAAACCTGGCTTTTTGAGCAAGCATTTGCAAATGCAATGTAACAGGCACAGATAGACCCACGGCATGACTGGACGATGTGATTGAATAATGATTTTAGTAAGGAGACGCCGAGGATATATGGTTTTTTAAAACTTTATATGAAATTATTTTTATATGCTAATGTTTTAAATTGTTTTTATGTTGTTGGGGGCATTGAATTGTGCCGAATGTAAACCACCCTGAGTTGGGCTGAGAAAGGCGGTATATAAATATGGTAAATAAATAAATAAATAAATTGAATTCAGGAACATGGGAACAAATATAAAATAATCATATGTTAAAAGCCAGTTTTTCAGCCAACAAGTTACCTTTTTGAACAAGCATTCATTTTCCTGATTAGAAATATCTTTGCACCCTGGCAGAGCAGTAGAGCGAGGACCAGTTTTTTTCCTTGAACCACAGTGGGCCTCCATTTGATGTACATTGAGAAGATATGTATATTATCACACTAGCAGTTAATAACAGTAGTTACTTTTTTTACGTAGCCTTGGACATCAGGAATTTTGTACTAGATTTAAATAAGAACTCTTCTAATATCCATCCAAACCTATATATCAATTCCCTATTCACTGTGTACTGTAGAAAGAACCAGAAATGTCTGCTCTCAGTGGAAATCTCCACAATAGGATGATCCATTCTAATTGCTAGGAAAAAAAGAAAGGTAGAAAATAAGCTTTTTAGTATGATGGTGATTCCAGAGACTTGCAAATGAGACAAAAGGAGAGAATAAAGTCTTAAGTGCCTAGAGAGCAAAACAGAGAAAGAACAAGCTCTCTTACACTGTTTACATCTCTTCCTGTTTTTGTCCTCATCAGTTGGTACTAGGAAAAAGAAGAGAAAAACAGTTCTCTTTGGGACCCCAGGGATTCAAATAATGCTCATCTTAAAGCAAGAATACTAGTTATAAAAGACAAGAAGGAAAGATTTGGATGACAAAGGGAAACATCCATATTATAGTGGTTCTATCTACTTTTTCATATGAGGGCCAGTATTCCATGATTGGCAATCTTCAAGAGTGGGAATTTTAGGAATTCATGATGCATAGAAGAGGTTCTCCTTCTGTGACACAGTTTTAACTACAAATAATTAGTCTCCTACCCAACCTACCCCATTGTTGTGGGATGGGGGATGGTCCATCATTTCTGGCTGATTTCCCTGTGCATTTATTTATCATATCAGAAGCAAACTGAGGGTACAGTGGTAAACTTGGCATTATACTAAATCTCCTTTGACCAGTAGCTGTCCACTTGGAGTGTGTCTGGTGTTGCTGTAAGATGGTCCTCCATTGTGCATGTGATAGGACTCAGACTGCATTGTAATACACCCTATGCATGAGACAAGGTGAAAGGCACATGTAGAGAACAGATGATAATAACAGAGGGAGGTCACCAGCAGCAACATGGGGAGATTGAGGCCCACTCTGTTCCAGTGTGCACTACTTCATGGTAGTTAGTTACAGTAATACCTAGATTTTATGACTTTGACTTGTCACATCTTCCTCTTTGTTTCTGCATTTTTCTGAACAACCTCAAAAGTTTTTCTGAGTCCTTTCTAGAAGAAACATGAAGATTGCAGAAAGCCATGTTAATCCTTGCAGTTGTTGAATTTGCCAAATGATAGCATAGTCATAGCATGCTTAATAACAGGGACAATTTAACTTTTAATTTTTTGCAACTGGTGCAAGACCAAAAATATATCAGGGGAATATAATGAGATTATTGCCACTTGAATTTAAGTGATCATCTGAACCTTCACTTTGTGACTGCAGTATTAAATAGCAGCTATTACACCAAGGTTTGGATATTAGGTGCAGTCAGGAAACTGGGAAAGCAATATTTGCACTCATATCTAGTGATTATAATAGATGTGATCAAGACCAGACATAAGCAGTAAGTAATTTTTGAATAGTTGATAAGAATTGCAGGTTTTTAGTAGAAACACATCTTATTCTTAATGTTTAAGGTTTCATAACTGAGATTTTTATCATGTCATTTTGCAATATGTTTGCTATTCAAATAACTGATGATGAATTGAAACCTTAAAGAAAATACAAACATATAAATCTATATATTGTTGAAGTGGATTGAAAAAGACTTCTTTTGTCTTTGCTGATATTTTTTTATTTGCCCTTTAACAAATCAAAGTGCTCTTTGTGTTTCAATAGGTAGGAAATATTGTACAGTTTCACTGCAGAAAAGGATACCTACTTCAAGGTTCTACAACTCGAACCTGCCTTCCTGACCTTACCTGGAGTGGGATTCAGCCAGAATGCATACGTAAGTTATGGGGAAATAGTAGAAATAGACAAAAATAGATTCATAACACTTAATATCACTGGGAGTTTCACCAGTAATGTCTGTTGATATTTTACACATTTTATTTTTATTTATCAAATCTGTAGAAAATATGTAAACAGTCCTTTAACATGTATGAAATTGGGACAAATGTTTCACAGTCATTGAGAAAGCTATGATTCAACCCCTCCTGACAGTTTTAGAGGGAAAGGAGAAAGTATATTATGGCCATGGTAAGAAGAAGAAGGTTCCTTTCTGTTTACCAGATGAAAGTGTTTAGCCTTGTGCTACACAACTCATCCTTTGCATAGTATCTCAAAAATAAAGAGGTAATCTTTTACCAACATTCTTTTATTTTTTTGAGGTTATGATCAAAAAGGAAAAAAGGAAAAAGAAGATGCTAAAACCCCCACTTCTTAGGGACAGTCAATTCTGTCAAATTCATTTTTACCTGGTTTGTTAGATTTCTGTTCATTTCCTTTCTTCACTCTTGTACCAGATGCCTAGATACTGATTTAGAAGTGTGAGAGAGACTAATTTGCTCTGTTGACAAGAGTTAAGGATTGGGTTTGTGAATTAGATTGGACTTATAGGTTTTATTACGGATCCTCCCACCATCTATGACTTGGGTGGTGATCGCATTAATATGATAGTTCTATCTGTTTTGCCATATGTAAAGTAAATTATGTCTTTCTTTTTAGCTCACAGTTGTAAACAGCCAGAATCACCAGCTCACACAAATGTTGCTGGAATGGATCTCCCCTCTCTTGGTTATACCCTCATATACACCTGCCAACCAGGATTCTTTCTAGCAGGAGGATCGGAACATAGAGTCTGTAGATCTGATGGCACTTGGACAGGAAAAGTTCCTGTGTGTCAAGGTAATTTCTCACATAATTCAGTTGCTTCTATGGAGCAGAAGCAGATTTATAGAATTATTTATTATTTATTTATTTACAGCTTTTATATTCCGCCCTTCTCACCCCGCAGGGGACTCAGGGCGGATTACAGTATACATATATGTGGCAAACATTCAATGACAATTTTTTACATACAAACATATACAGACAAAACAGAGGCTATTTAACTTTTTCTGGCCGCCAGGGGAGCTGTCGCTTTCATCGTCCATCTGCGACACTGATGAAGCACTTCTGCATTCCCCGCATGCTTCCCCGCTGGAATGCTTTGCTGGAGTCTTCTTTATGGCCTCATAAATCAGTTAATTTAGCCTCCCCACACTTTAAGGTGGTACCTTATTTTCCTACTTGACAGATGCAACTGTCTTTCGGGTTGCAAAAGTCGACAACAGGCTACACACAATTGGTTGGAAACCCACTCCAACCCGGGCTGGCTTTGAACTCATGACCTTTTGGTCAGAGTGATCTTAATGCAGCTGACACTCAGCCAGCTGCGCCACAATCCCGGTGCCCCATCCCTTTAACTTTATTTACTCTTCTAGTGCAATGTAGCATGTCATTGCATCATTCCACTTCTGCCACCCAATAAACATACATAGTAGACATTGTTAGGTTCAGTCGGAATCTTCGTAATTCAAAATAAATTCGGAAAGATTTGCTTTTTGAAGGGATTTTAAAGTTTTTAAGGAAACCAGAAGTCCCTTTGCCCTTCTGAAGCTTTTTCCGTCATTTCTGTTACTAAACAGTAAGTGAGTTGGAAATTATTCAGCTTTTCCCCGCTTCTGATCCCTGGCCTCGACTCAAGCCAGAGAAGCCGTTTTAATCCAGAGTGGATGAAGTTCCTTTCCTCTCCCCTCGCTTCTGTCTCAAGCCTGGGAAGTTTTTAAACCAGAGTGGATGAATTTCCTCCCTTTCTCCCCCCCCCCCCCCCCCGCTTCTGTCTTAAGCCTGGGAAGTGTTTTAAACCAGAGTGGATGAATTTCCTCCCTTTCCTCTCCCCCCGCTTCTGTCTCAAGCCTGGGAAGCACTTTAAACCAGAGTGGTTGAAGTCCCTCCCTTTGCTCCTCCCCCCACTTCTGGACTAAAAGAACTACTTTCAAAATGAAGAACACCCGTTTAAACAGGAAATAACACTTTCAAACCATTAAGGAAGGAATCGGAAGTCTCGGAAGTTTCAAAAAAATTTGAGCATTTTTTTCTGTGAAATTTTGAATTGACTTTAGAATCGAACCACCAGTGCCCCCTACATCCGAAACATTTTTTTAACCATTTTTTTTTGGCTCAAACCAGCCTAATACATAGGTAGTGATTTTGTCACATCATGTATTAAAACTCAGTGTAGGCAAATGCCAAAATCATAGTTTTATAAGAAACAAGGAAAACAGAATGACAATTATAAAATGAATGAGAAGAACTTGAATTCTACATTCTAACTAGAGTAAACCCATTGAAATAAACTGTTGAAATGTAAGTCTCCACACAAAGATAAATTCTGTAGATTTAGAGGGGCAACTTTATTTAGGACTAACAAAGTCCAAAACATTGACAAAAACCTTTTTTAACTACCATATTGCGTCACACAATACTCACAGTTTTTATGCTCTTGTGGGGTGTGTTTTTTTCATTTCCAAGGGGATGGGTGGGCAAGCAATTGAAGTTTCATTCGCTCACCTGCATGCATGCCGTTTTTCCAGCTACAGGGCTTCAATCAGTTGCCAGCTGAGTGAAGCCCCATAGCTACAAGGGGGTGGGTGTGCAAGTGAGTGAATGAAGGGTATGGTAATTGTGTGAAGAATACAAAAATATAAATTATGCCACCTTAAAAATGGAGGTGCAATTTTACACGGTGGCAACTATAATGTGAGGACATATGGTATTCACAAGCCCTTACTCAGAAAGGGCTGTGTGTTAAGGGTAACCCCCCCCCCTCCAAAAAAAAAGTCAGGTTAAAATAAGCTTGGTTTACTCATGAATTGGTTAACTAGTTAAAGTTCACAAGTAAACTACTTTTTTTTAAATCTGATACATTTCGGGGGGCTTTGAACACTTAATCCCACCACCACCAGCAGCCACAGCCCTGGGTATTCAATAACCCTGTTAATTACACAAATGCTACCCATAAGATTGTTTCTATCCAATTGAACAAGAATTATTAAAATGTGCTTTTCATACATTGCTATTTTCCACTTGTCAAAAATACGGGTTGAAGTAAAACAAATTAACTGGAAAGAGGAGAGTAAAATACACATGTCTTCAATAATATGAAAGAGTTGAACTTTTTAAAATATTTGCTCTGGAACAAACCAGCAGATCTTTGAGGTTTTCTTTTCATGTGCTGATTGACAGATGCAGAAATCTGAAGAAAGCATTTACTTTCAGACAGAATCATTGTTGGGAGAGAAAGCAGCGTGTCCTCCTGTCACTCTTATTGCTGATGAAAACATTTTTTTATAAAAAACAGGAAAAAATGGCTGCTTTGGTGATTTTAAATAGGAAAATTATGGTGCTTTCATCTCATGCTTCAAGTTTCAAAGGAAACCACAATAATAAGGATACATGTGGCAGTTGTAAAGTTGCTCTGGCTTCAATACATGAACTTCTTTTTGATAATGATATGAAGGTTCATTTCATCCCTGAAATGTATATATCCCAGTATATAGGAAATAGTGTGATTTTGACTTGTAGAAGAATAGAACCAGTGACATTAACAGAAGCTCTGAACACTTTGATATTTCCTAACACATCAGGTGCTCCACAGTTTTCACAAGATTACATTACAAAGACATGTTTCTAGGTGGTAATAGGGGAGCTCTAACTTGGCAAGTTTTGTTTGTCTATTTCCCAGCCATTATGATAAAGCAAAAGAATAAGTAATATGTTGAGATAGTAGGCACAGGATAAAGGTTATTTTCAAATGATAAAATAAATTCTTATCAAGGTGTTCAAGATCCAGATTTGCATGGGGAGAAGGGGTGCTTTACAATCCTCAAGTTTAGCACTAACTTTTACTTTCTGTTTCAACAATATTACTGATATGTGGAATGAATGTTGACCTGCAGGTGTGAAGTAACTTATTTCAGTTAAAACTTCACTTTTATAATTGGCTGCAATATATTTAATTCCAAATATTTTGTGAATTTTAGTGAAATAATAATACAATATATAGCTATACTTATATACTTATATATGGCATTAAGTTTTATTGCTTATCTCAACAGCTGGTTCCAAAATATTGGTGAAAGACCCGAGGCCAGCTTTAGGAACACCAAGTCCTAAACTTAATGGTGAGTGAATGGCAGTTTATTCATTAAAATATCTGCAGTAAATTCTACTCAGAAGTCAGTTTCACTGATTATTTAATAATTACAGAATGAGCACAAAAAGAGAACCTAAAGCATACTTGGTCGAAAAGGAACTGTATGGAGTGGAAATAGTTATGTTCATGTCCTCAATCCATATGGTAACTATCCAGACTTACAGGACTTTTGTTGAGCTATCCTGATGGGATACACTCTGCATGGGCCACAGAATTGCAGTGCTATTTAAAAATAATATACATTAATCTTATTGATATTTTTCAAGCCTAATCTTATTGATACTTATCCGTTGTTGTAAATTTAATCTAATAGTATCTGTTTGCAAACACAAGCAGTGTTGAATGCAATTAAGAAATGAATTTTCTTCCTTTTTTTCAGAAATTATTCATATGTATTTTTGTGTATTTCTAGACCATGACATATGGATTCTTGATACAGTGAAACTTAAGTGAAACAAACATATGTTGCATATACATTATAAAACTGTTTTGGGGCATTGTAAAATTATGTTTTAAGCTTTTAAAAAGTTTGAAGTGCAAATAAATGTTTGAAGAAGAGAAGCATTTGTGGGGACTTGATAAAGATGATAATTGGGAAGTTTCAAATGTTCACTTATAATCCAGCAAATGAGATTTGTGTGCTCTTGTGAGCTTGTATTTGTAGGTGCCAGTCTGTATCTGAATGTAAATTTGAATCAACATTGAAATGTTTGATTGATGTAGGATGTATATAAGTTGGTATGCACTATTAGAGATCTGAGTAAAAACTCAATCATGACCAGTATGTTTTTCCTCATCTTTAAAATATACAGACTGATATGTGAAGTGTTTATCATAAATACACATGCTGAAAACAGAATTGGCTTTGCATCATAGGCCTCAGGCATTTTGGAAAACAGCCATTTGTAGTCTTTGTGACATAGATAACATTTTCTATGTCATAGCTGCAATCAGAGATAAGAACATCAGTCTGTATTCCTTTCCCATGGGGTCTCTTTCCAGTTTCTTTCATCAAAAATCTGAGATTGTTAAATAATTTTTATCATTATATAAATTAAATTTTTCAAGTATAATCCCAAAGCATCCCAGTTTTGAGGTCCAAGTGTTCATGGGTTTTGAACGTATTTTGCTATGATAACTGCATTTCCATATGAATCTTGTCCAAAAGTTGTTTTCAATTGTTTAGGAAGTGTAACTATTGGGTGACTGCACTTTACTTTGAGAGGCACAAATCAGATAGCAAAATTCTAAATCCTAAGCATCCGATTTGAAATCCGGTCTATATTTACATATTGAGTGCCCCAATATAGTGACTTATTTCTAAATAAGCATGTAAGTCACATTAGTGGAATCAGACTCATTTTAAAATTTCCAAAGGGGACTTAAAATTGAAATACATAGCTGTGGTAGTTTGGAATATCAGTATGCCAAGGGATCCTATAGCATCTTAAGAGAGTAACTGAGATAAATGCCTTGGTAGTACCAGTTTTTATAGACTTGAGCTACTAGAGTGCAGGCATGGGTGTTGTAACATCACCAGGTCTTGAGGCTTCTCTACCAAATAAGAGTGTCGCCACTCCAACTCCCATGATTCCATAGCATTGAGCCATGGCTATTAGAGGAGTGTCTAACTGCATTAATTCTACAATATGCAGTAGATGCACCTGCTTCCTCAGTTGCATTGAGCGCTGACTGTATGTATGAACAATCATATAAAAGCAAAACATGTGGGTATGTTAATGAGGTGACAAGTTCAGTTTTAACATTTGTTGATGGAGAACAAATCCAAGTGGAAAAATGTAGCTTAAACCAGGGTTAGTAGATAACCAAATGAATGATAGAAGAGTTATTGGAATGCAATGGGATGGTCCTGGGGAACCAGAAAGAAGATATGATGAAGTGGCCAAGGGAGCCCTCTTGCGGCTGGGGTGTTAATTCTGTGTGAGTGTGAACATGTGTGTGTGTGAGGACAGCTATTCTAAAGTCATTGGTGAAATGCCCTGAAAGACTGTCGTGTTATGTGATTGGTTGTTGTGTTTTGTTTATTTCAATTCCTATCTTCATACTGTTACTTCAAGAATGCTTTTTGCAATTTCATGAGTTTGGCTTCCTTGTCTTGCGGGTCTGAGCAGATGCAATTGCATCAGGGTGCTTGTCTGTAAACTCTGGATTTGGTAGTGCTTTCAGGGGGGAAACAGGAGATATGTAAATGTAGTGGTCAGTGGGATTTTCAAGATAATGTGGTGCTCTGATGTCCATGGTACAGTTGTATGAGGTTGTCCAGAACGTGGATTTATTCTGTTTTTAGTTTCAGGGCAAGATGGTGAGATTAAAGGAGTTGAAATTCTGGTGAAATGCCTTGAGTTAGTCCTCTCCATGAATCCAAATTATGAAGATATCATCAATGTACCTCAGACAGAAGAGAGATTTCTGGATGTAGGGGTTAAGGAAATGTGATTTTAGGTCATCCATGAAAATGTTGGCATATTGTGGTACCATGTGTGTGCCTGTGAGAGTATTGTTAACTTGTTGGTCTTATTTAGATATACTTTTATATTTAGTGTACAAGTTGATAAATGACGTACTGAGAAAGTATAATGCATTAACCAGTCATCGAACTTACATTTTTACCCCAAGCGCTAACATTTCACAGTATGCATGCATATCTTTATTTATTTATATTTTGCTTATAGATTATCTTTCTCAAATGTGAATTTGAATGAGAACACACAGTCACCTGTTTCTGTGCTCTGATCCTATCAAAGGCCTGAGGAGGCCTGCTACAGTAATGAAATACAAATACCACCTGGATATAAGGAAAATGGATTTGAAATTTCTGGAAATATCATCTCAATCATCCTTCTAAGCTTTTTTATTTGTGTTTTCAACAATATAGAAGCTGTATAAAACTTCCACCAACTACCTTCTAGTCTGTGTAACATTTAATTTACTTCCTTTAAAGGTACAGTTTTATACATCCACTGCTTCAGAAAAGGAACTGTAGCTATTTGCTGTTTTCATGTGGCATTTGAGGGTAATGAGTGTGATTGAGCAAAGAAATTGGATTTCATTGGATACCCTAGATACCAGATCAACAGAATACATAAGTACATACTTTAAAACCAAGTGCTACATTGCTTTATGCAGTTCAAGTTAAAATGTCTATTATTGCTTTATCAAAGCAATAAGACACATAATGTAATGTATGATATGATAGATAATATATAGTATGACATAACATATACAAATAATAGTACCAAAACAATAATGCGCATTGTTTTGGTAAAACATTAATACACAATTTATCCTGAACTATATATTGCATATGTGTTAGCCTGTACCTCATAGTTTTTATTCCTTCACAGTCCTTAGAATTTTGTCTTTGCATCTAGATGTGACTGTGTAGGCATCAATTCAGGTTTAAGAGTCTAACTTCAGAGTTATTGAAATGAGTAAAACTTTTTTCCATTGATTTTGCTTTGTGTTAGAGCTTAGCTCATCAATCTGCACCTCCATTTATAATGATTAACATTCATTTATTCCAAAAGGACTCTTTGGCAAGCGTAGAAATATGAGAAATGCCTATAAGGCACTAAAAGAAGACATTGAATCATTTGTTTCATTTGTGTGGAATATACCCTAAAGAATAAAGCTTAGAACTCTCCTTTAATTTGTCATGAAGAATTTACACACTTTATATACTTCAAGCTTGCATACTTATGAACACTTTGCTAGGTTTAAAGCCCCACTGAATTGAACACAACTTGCTTTGGGAAAATAATCATAGATTGGATTTTATTGGTATGAGAAACAGCATTTAACTTGTTTTATACAGAATCCTAGATACTCTCCTAGCACTGATGTAATCAGGACTATCCAACAAATGGCAAAGAAGCCACATTGACTTGACCACCTTCACTTAGCCTTGATAAATGTGTATATGTTTTTTGCATGTGGTTTTTGTTTCTTTGGACAAAAGAAGTAATATTTCTAATATTAAGCAAAGTTTACACAAGTATATAATGCTGCAGAGAGGGGGCACTGATGGCCTCCATGAACAGATGCCAGAATTAAGTTAATTCTTGGCCTCAAGTCAGGGCACATCAAGAGGGAAGCGGGCCATCAGTTATTTAAAGCCAGTCCAATCTCTCATGAACTCCCTATACATTATTTGACTTGTGGCTAAACCACCCATCCTTAGTTCAGTGTGACTTTGCTTGTTGCTTCAGGACCAGGTTGGAATTTTCTCCCATTTTCCTGAAGGTTTTGATTGCCCATTTTCCTGAAGGTTTTGATTGTATCAATGGCCCTTTCATGATTGCATAAGGATGGTGCCAGTAAATAGATTGTCACTGGTAGATAACAGGGAGATATTGTAAAAGTTTAATGTGCATCTTGGCCCTCTTTTGGTGAAAGATGGGTCTCTGGGATGGCCTCTTTAGTTCCTTTTGGCCAACCTGAGGGTTTTCTGTCTCTTATAAAGCCCTGAGATTTCAGTTGGAGTGTCTTGGCTTGTATTTCAAGAAATGATGAGACCAATTGAGGAACTCATAGCATTGGGTTGCCCAAGGCCAGGTGTTTCACCCAATGGATGGCTGAGGAGTTGGCAACAGGTTGACACCTTGCTTCAGGCAGATCTGCATCATATTGCTTCCTACTCTTTGGATTATCTTCAGCCACAACTCACTTAAATAGGCTATAGGTCAAATAAAATGGCCCTTGTTTAATCCAATTCTCTGTGTCTGATCTTGTTATTTCATAGTTGGTCATCAGTATGTAGTAATTAATGTTTTCATGCACAAGTACCTTTTTTCAGAAGAGAAAAAAAAGAATAATTCAGTTACTTCTGAAAATGTCCCGTCAAAATCCAATTAGTGGGAATTTCACAGCTGCAAAGTTATTTTTGTTTCACCCCTTCATATATTTTATCCTGCTATGGCTAGTTCTCTAGATTTTTTTTACTAGATGTATTGATGAATGCGGGCTGTGCCGTTTGTTTGCAGAACACTTTTAAGTTTAATTTAGGATCAGCTGAACATTTTCATTTAATTTGTTTACCAGGGATGTTGACATTTCTGTAGAATGTTTAGTCAGTCTTACAGCTTGAAAATTTAAAAGAACTCTATGAATGGATAGAAAATGCTTCCATCTCTGTGCCTTATAAATATCTGATGGGGTGTTCATAAGATTTCAGTGCTCCAAGTGTCTCATGGGTAAATTCCCCTGAAAATCTTTCCATGTATTTTAATAATTATGTACAGAACTTGAAATATCTATCTTATATCTATAGATATCTATATCTATATTCCTGTTACTCATTATAATATTTTGAAAGCAATGCACTGATGTTTGTTTGTTACTATGTTTGAAATGTAACTTATGACCTTATCCCATGGGCAGGAGAGAAGTGGGGGAAAGCGGGGGAAAGTGCCCTTCATATTGTGGATGTGATCTACCACAACAAGACCCATCTTCAGGAATGGCCAGGCATCCAACAACATTTTCCCGCTTTCCTCCGCTTCCTGCCTCTGTCTTCAATCAAATTGAAAACGGATTCCTCTGATTATCTTCTCACACTGGTGAGACAGATGTCAGTGCACAGCCACCAGAAGTAACTGTGTCCACACTGCCATATACTAGTTCAATGTGGAATTTATACAGCTGTATGGAAGGGGCCCTAGTTTCCAGGGCAGCAGAAAACAAGCCTACTCCCTCTGCCTTATGACTCCTTTCACATATTTATACATGGCTATAATTTGTCCTCTCAACTGTGCAGGATAAACATATCCAGCTCTTTAAGCGGCTCCTCATAAGGCATGGTCTCCAGACCTTCCATCATTTTTGTTGCCCTCTGGAGACCTTCCAGCATGTTAATATCTTTTTTAAATTGTGGTGCCCAGAATTGGACACAGTATTCCAGATGAGGTCTAACCAAAGCAGAAGAAGGAGACACCATGACGTCCCTCAATCTAAACACTATACTCCTTTTGATGCAGCCCAAAATCCCGCTGGCTTTTTAGCTGCTGCATTACATTATTGGCTCATGTTTTGGAAACAAAACCTTGCTGATGTACAAAATTGTTGAATGTAATGATGCAATCCAATATTTCATCTTATGTTTGGAAGGCTCTGGTGGAGTAGCAGTGCTTTTGTGTATTCCTTTGGGAAATGGACTTTCATGTTTTGCCTATGGACAGTATCATCAGAATTTGTTTTAAAGTTTTTGCAGTGGAGGTGGAAAAACACATCAGATTTATGTTTATATGTTTGGTTTGCATGCAGATATTTAAACAAATCTATGATTTGATTTTTATACATAACCTTTTAGGACCTCTTCACATGTGCCACTGGAATCGGCAAGTATCACCTTGAATCACAGTGATCTCAGCGGTATCCACCCAGGGTGTGTGGAGACCTGTCATCCCTTCCCCACACCATCCCTGCTTCCAACTACCTCATCACTGTGGGGGGGGGTGCTCTTTAGGGCAGCTCAACCCATCTTTCCCTATGGAAAGATGGGGAAATTCTATGATGTGCACTGCCAACAGGGGTTTTCTGCCAGTCTCGCCATGGAGCCACCCTGGAAGGGTGTGATGGGAGCCGTTGGGCTCCATGGCAAAACTGACCAAAAGAAAAACCCATTGCCACCACCAAAAAACAGCCCATTTGAAGAGGTCCTTAAATAGTCATATACTGTCTCTTACCATTTTCAGACCAGCCAAGGCCGCTTGCTGAAGATTTCTCAATAACTATGCATTTGGCATATGTAGTGTATGTTGTCAAGTCTAATATGTCATCTAGAAAAATCAAATGAAATAATTGAAATGATCTACACTGCAGAATTAATGCAGTTTGACATCACTTTAATTGCAATGTCTCAGTGCTATGGAATCCTGGGTCGATAGTCTGGTAAGGTGTCAGCACTTTTTGGCAGAGAAGGCTAAAGGCCTTGTAAAAGTACAGGGCCCATGATTACATAGAATTAAGCCATGGGTGTTTAGGGATGTCAAATTGCATTCATTCTGCTGTAGAGATCTGCTTTGAGACATGTCAACAACAACCAATTCTCATTCCTTTCAAAGGAACTAGTTTAAGAAGGGCTAACTATGTATTTATCGCGCGCACAGTGTTTTGTGAAGATCATAAGAAAAGTAAAGGAAGAGGAATAAGAATCTTGTTTATCTTTTAATGGAGTTACAGAAATTGAAATATGGAGAAATATATTGACATTTTTCTTTTTTCTCCTCAGTTCCTGATGATGTTTTTGCTCAGAATTACATATGGAAAGGTTCCTACAATTACAAGGGGAAAAAACAGCCTATGACCTTGACAATTACTAATTTTAACTCAACATCAGGAAGAGTAAATGCAACACTTACTAATAGCAATATGGAGCTACTACTTTCAGGTATGTCCTGGTATTAGAGATCCAGAAACAGACTTACTAGTGGAAAAAAAACCCAGTATGACTTTTGCAATTATAAATGTCAATGATATGTAGATAAGGAAGACCACTAAGCATCCTCTAACTGGACTTCAAATGTTTCTCTTTCATACTTCTAGACTGTTTGGTTACTCAGTAAAATTGGTTGAGGTCAATTCAAAACAGCATTCATTTAACTATTGGGTTATATGACCCATTCATCTGTTCCAGTAGAGTTTTCTTGCATTTATGTGTTCCTGTTTCTCGATATTCCAAATTTCTTCAGGCTAGATGGAAAAAAAGTCTTATGTGGTATTACAGAAAGAAAAATAAGAACTTGTACATTCCCCAATGTAAACTCTAAAATGATTCTGTTCTTCAACATAATATAATGCCACAAATTGTGACATTAAAAAGTATTAGATACTAAACTGTATAAATTTGCCTAAACTATGCCTACAGTATTCTGAAGGGAAAGACAGTCTGTAATGATAAAAACTTTCAATATGTCATTCTTGATTTGTCTTTTGAAAGTACATATTACTTTGCTGCTGTTAGAAATACCAGTATTATAATATTTGTTAAAATATTATGTTGTAAACTAATTTCTTTTTTATTTCAATGGTAAACATGTTTAAATACAGAAACCGTGCAAGAAAAAACAGTTAATATAATCCAAATATGAATCATCCAGTCATTATTCATGCAGAGAAGCTTTGTATCGAGATGTCAGGGAGGACGATTGCCCTATTGTCCCTATCCAAAACACTCTCAATGGCAACAACAATGCCCTTGGATTCAGGTCACTGACATGAAGATGTGATTGAAGCATATACACAAAGCACTTTTTATTTTAATATCTACAACAGGTGAAAGGATATGAACCAATAACTTCTATCTTGCTGTCCTGTTTTCCACTGGTGGCATCGACATATGCAAAAAGACCAAGCAGGGCTATAATTAATGCAGATTATCTGAATGAGAAGTCATCTACATTCAGCCATTCTCGCTGAAGTCTTGAACAGTGCTCTATCATAATTTGCCAGAAAAAATGGAGGAATTTATCAGGAAAGATAATTCATTCATTTTGCTAAAACCTGTCAGTATAACTTCAGCTTTTAATATTTCTCTAAGCCAAGCAATTCTTTGGCAATGAAAGGAGACATCTGGCAACAGCTGGTTGTGTGCTAACTCTTCGCTGATTAGGTTTAGGCATGGATAATATTGGGCACCATCACAGTGCAGTGCAGATTTAAGATTTACTCCTACAAACTTGCATACTTAATAGTGTCTTCACCATCATGCAATAGTTCCTCTGGTGATATGGAAAAATCCAACAGTACTTAAACACAGAGTTATTTGAAGGAACGGAAAGGAGAAAGATTATGCAAAATGTACCCAAAGCCATACCAAGGAACTCTTAGACATAGTGCTTCCATATCTCAACATATAGAAATATCCAGAAGGGCAGTGCAAATAATGATTTTGCATTTTACAATGTGTAAAATTACAAAATACAAGGCTTTGTTGTTGTCACTGAGCCCTAAATAGGCTTTTTCACTATATAAGTAGAGGTTTGAGAAATTTTGCTTTTGTAAAATGGAGCTTATGCACCCATATCCCTGACCTGTTTAGACCTATGTAAAAGCAGATGAACTGCTGTACGGAGTTGCTAACATAGCTGTTAACATTACCTGTGTCATGCCTACCGAAACATTTGAAATGCTTCAAATATATTCCCTTTCCTAAACAATGTTTCACTTAGGTTGCTTGAGCAAAGGGAGATGGAAATATAATTTTAAAAAACTTGCACTACATTAAATATAGAATAGTGTTAATAGCAAAGAAAATAACCTTATGTCAAGTCAGATCATTGGAACATCTGGCTGTCCTTTTCATCTCTACCAAGAGATGCCTGGGATTGGACATAGTGCCTTTTGCATGCAAATCATGTATGCTTCTAAATGAGCCGTGGTATTTGCGCCATATGTAAATGTATTACGTGGTCTGCATCAGAGGTTGTAGTTGACGTTGAATGAGATGTAAAGTAATTAACACTGGAACTGTTCCATAAATGATATGATCCTGATCATTATTTATTTATTGTTTGAATTTATATGTCTTTAAAATTGCAATTGACACATTTTGTACATAATACATCCCAAACTGCAAAGATTCTTGTGAGTCCAAATTTATAGGTGGCACAGATCAATTGTTTTTATTTTTTTTCAGGGGTGTATAAAAGCCAAGAGGCACGTTTAATGCTCCATATATATTTCATTAAAGCACCATCCCAAACTGCCTTGAACAAACTGAAGGAGGAAAAATGGGCAATGGATGGCTTTGTGAGTACAGCCATGACAAAATCTAATGCTGTCTTAATAGGAAATGATAGGTTGTGCATGAGACCATGAAAAAAGACATTTTAAAAATGATTGTTTAATTAGCAGTACTGGAAAATAGCATCATACAGACAGTTGCTGACAGAGCAAAAAATAAATGTTGATATTAAAATACAGTGGCATTCTCAAATGGTCTTATGGAATGTTATTGGTTGTTTTCAAAAGCAAAATAATTTGTGTATCTGTATGTGTGTGAGAGAGAGGGGGGGAAGCATTTAATGCACAAGAAAGTTAGTCATTTTCATGTTAATTTCAAAAAAGCACTTATCACTTTTTTATAGTAGTATAGGATTTTTCCATATCCTTTAAAATATTCATAGTAAAATTCAGTGATTTCCAATTTCAGGCCATGAAATACAGTGTTCCTTCTCAAGCTTTAGAATGATGCAGAACTGTTATTTATTGGCAGGAAAAACAAATAATGATAATGTCCTAGGTATTCTATCAGAATATTTTATCCTTATTTAAGAATTACAATCTTAAGACACCATCGCTGTTTGGCAAGAACATTGTCCTGATAATTGCTGTTACCCCTTGCTGTGGGAGCACAGATTGTTATTTGTATCACCGTATATGGATTATATCCAGTAGGGCTGTGCGATCAATGAAAAAAATGTTTCAAAACTCATTACAAAATTAACTGTTTAAAAAGTGTTTCTAAAGTACACTTAGTGAAAATTTTGTTACTTTTTGTTATAGTAATTGTGTAAGTGGGGAAAGTTCAGGGGCTCCATTCTCCCTCATATTTACAGCTATTGGGGTGAAGCTTGCTACAATGGTATAACACATTTACCACTGTTAGAACATCAAGTTTCAGAATGTTTCACTTATCCATGGAGTTTTTGGAGAATTTACCAAGTTATTATAAACAATTTTTTTAAAAAAAAAAAACAAAACTACAAGAGCCATATCCTTGAATTTTCTCTGCAATGACACAAGATAACGGGGGATCATCCCCCCAACTTTCAGAAATATTCATAAATCTACTGAACATAGGGATTTTTAAAAAAAGTTTTGTCAAAAACATTTTAAAAGCCACAACAGCTATCTATTGAATGTTTCTCATATTAATCAACAGAACTTCCATTTATGGATTTTTCCCCTAAGCCCAGCATGGAGATTTACTTACTAGAAGTTAGGGCTGGGCGGTTTCGTTTCGTAATTTCGTAATTCGTTAAAAATTCGTTATTTTTTTTTGGGTTACGAAGTGATAACGAACCATTCAGGAGCATCTAAAAAATGAAACGAATTTTTCAATTCGTTTCGTAATTGCTTCATATTCGTTTCGAAATCGTTTCGTTATTATTTCTGCATGTCTGGGGCAAGTTTTATAGCTGTTGTTTGTTTAATCAGTGAAAAAAAATTATAAATATCACACCAACAGTCAACAACAGAGGGAGAGGGAAGCTTCAGAAGTTCCCCCTGTCCCATATGGAGGTTTTTTAGTGTATAACGCGGTCGCATCCGCCATTAACGAATCGATTCGTATTCGTTTCGTATTCGTTTCGTACTGTTTCGTAACTTTATGAAATTTCGTAAATATCGAACTTTTTTAAATAAAATTTTCGGAATTCTTTTAAATATTGAAACGCAAAAAACCCCAAAAAACGAATCGAGTTTAGAAACAAATTTTTCCGTGGTTGCCCAACCCTACTAGAAGTATCAGTCAGTCCTCCTCTTTGCAAATTCAACCATTTATTGGCTGGCTGCTGCTACGGAGGGACAAATTTCTCCCCTATCTTGATTGGTGCTTTCTAATGGTGAGCAGAATTCTGGGAAATGTAGTTTAGGGCAGGACCTTTTGAATTTTCTAGGGCTCCTTGCCTTGCCAAACAATTTGTACCAGAATTCTGTGCTTTCTCAGTCTCTTTCCCAGTGAACTTTGCTTTCTCCCTGCTGCTTCCCTCTCCTAATGGAGAGAAGGCATTAATTTAAGGAGGAATGGCAGCCTTTTTGGCTTTGCACTTGCTTAATTTGTTGTGCTGAAAATTAAACAGACTTTGGAAAGATCCCAAAGTTTACAAAATTCAAAGGAAAAAAGGGTTAGGTAAGTTTTGATTCTTAAGTTTTTAGTGCAGGCCATGCCCACATGTCGGATATTGTGTCGTAAATTAATGAATTTAATCTGATCAATGAAATTTGCACAGCCCTAATATTCAGCCCAGGGACAAATATCAAATTTAGTATAAACTTGGACTGAAAATGTGTTGCAGAAAAATTGTATGAAATTTTATTTGCAGTTATGCAATTGTAAAGCATAAATTAATAGTGTTGATAAAATGTTTGAGTAGGTATAGGTAATATTTGTTTCAATAACAGTGTCCTAGTCTAGCTTGATTTGCTTAAAACGGAGGTATAGAAGTTTCTCATGGAGTTATGGTGGCACAACTGGGTATGTATGATTAATACTAACACTGATAATGGAATCCCATGCCTTCTAGTTTGGTTTTTTTTTTAAAGCAGTTGTCGGAATCCTAGTGTGTGACTGGCAAGGTATAATGATTTGTTGATTCCTCCACTTAAACTTTTAGCAGCTTTGGATAGGGGTCTTGAAGAGAAATACAGCACACACACAACATTCATAACTTCATCTATAAACCTGTCAACAGTATATGGAACAGTATAAGAAATGTGCTGATGCAAAGTAATAGGAACATATTAGTGGACAGCTAGCATAGGGAAAGATGCAAGATCACATTGAGCAATGCATATTGAAGAAGCTCCTTAACACCTACTTGCACTTGCTTAATTTGTTGCATGTTGGCTTTTTAAACTATTGCAACCAAATTATGACCAGTCATGGAAGTATTTTGAAAGCAAATATCTTTGTGATGAATCATAGAATCATAGAATCATAGAATCAAAGAGTTGGAAGAGACCTCATGGGCCATCCAGTCCAACCCCCTGCCAAGAAGCAGGAATATTGCATTCAAATCACCCCTGACAAATGGCCATCCATGAGAGTTGTCCACAATCCTTTCCATTATCTCCTGTCAGTCTGTCTGTCTATCTGACTGACTATCAATCTTTTACCTATCATATGCATACATGGACACACACACACACACACACACACATATAAACATGTGGGTATTTTTAAAAGAACTAACATTAATTTCATATGGCACATTATAAATCTTTTTGGATCTGAGCTTATATGTGGAGCTGTTTGTAACAAATGCAAAACCACATTGAAAGTTTTCTCATTTTTGTATGTGTCTATGTGTATGCTAATAATCTCAGATATTAATAAAGACAAGATATATGTTAATGGCAATTCAGAGAGCAATATTTAAAATAACTTGCATATTTTAGTGCAGCTTACCAGAAAATGTATCTCCATGAAAAGGGAAGATTGGATACTAGCAGCAGAATAGTTTAAGTGCCACCATTACAATTTGAATCTAATGAGCTTCTCAATTTCAATCCAATATATGTATATCCAGGATAATTCTGTTTGTTTCTTGAAATGTCTTTGTAGGTTTCTGCTGAGCCTGATGGTGCTACCTATGTTTTCCAAGGATTTATCCAGGGTAAAGATTATGGGCAATTTGGACTTCAAAGACTAGGTAATCAGCAGGCATTGATTTTCTGTTATTTAAACTCTGCACAGCTATTTGGAATCCATATATAGAAAGCAGATTGGGAACATTCCCAATGCCCATGTTCCAGTTTGGTCTGTGTGCACAGAGACACATAGCCACAAATAGCATAAAAAGCTGGATTATGATTTAAAAGAGACAGTTTACATTTAGCTAATTTACTGCTTTGTAAAAATCATGCTTTGTAGGTTGAGAAATTGCACTCTTGACATGAATCAGCTCTGCCTTTTATACATTGACTGCATATGGATTCTAAATAGCAGAATATGATATCAGTGGTTTTATTTGTTGTTAAAGCACTTGTGTGATTATATTTAAGGACGTCATCACATGAGGAATTTTTGGCATTCTAGGATGCTTCTACTCTATTTGAGAGGCAGATGGGCATGCAGCCCATCATATGAGGTCGCTCAATGTCCAGCAGAGGCCGCACCCCCAACTGGCATGGAAGCATCCTAGGGTGCTTCCTCATCAACACAGAAAGGTTCCCATGTAGTGCTGGCTCCGTGTTGTGCTAGCTCTGGTTGGGCGATACTTCCCCTGTGTGATAAGGGAAGCATCACTGTGCCTGCCGTTTTGCTATGCTTGCAGGCAAAATGGCACAGGGGGCAGCCTCACATGTGGTAAGGTCATAAATTGTAGGCCTTTTAGAGTAAAGAATATGCTTTATGAACATCTTAAGAATGTAATAATTAATTAAATGTATTTGCTAGGGTGAATTTAAATTCTCTGTTTGTTGCTTAGCATGGAGCCAGTGTGGTGAAAATGGTTTGAGTGCCGGAGTATGATTTCAGAGACTGGGGTTTAAATCCCCACTTGATTATGAGAATTGGATGACCCTGGGCAAGTCACACACACTCTCAGCCCAAGAGAAAAGCAAAGACCCCTCCCCCTTCAAAAAAATATCCTGCCAAGAAATCCTGTGCTAGGCCTTCCTTATGGCTCCTATAAATCAGAAATGACTTCAATATTCACAATTAAAATTTATGTCTATTTAAAAAATCCGTATATTAAATCTATATTAGGGCATGGTCACAGAACAGGATTGCTTGGTGTTGGGTTTTATTATTGCTAATCTATATGTACTACTTTCAATGTTGTTCATATCACTACAGACCACCCCAACTTCAGGTTAGTGACAACATGCTAATAAAAGTCAAATGATCCATAGGCTGAGAGCACCTAAAGTCAACAAGCTACCATATGTAGACCTGGTTGTGAGAATAGGTAATACTCTTAAACAGAAATAATATTGTGTCAAAAGACACATCAAATGTAAGCAATGGTGAAATGAATTAAAGTCTAGTTTTCTGTCACTGACAATGGCTAACCAAACATTTCTGAGAGGCTCTTGATTATTTTTTTCCTAACACAATCTCCTTACGATACAAGATGCAATGCTACATTTCATAAAGATTTTTTTGGTTGGCTTGCTTGCATTTATACAACATGCACAAACATTTCAGATTTATCCACATCTAAAGCCACCCAGACTAAGGTTCAGAAGAATGAAGAAGAATATTACATCTTGGAAGAAATTCAAGGGAAAAGAGCCAAGCAAACCACACTCAGAAATAATCAGACAAATGGAAGTGTAACTATATTATTATAGTGTTTTCTATCCCAACCTATACAAACATCCAGTATCACACTACAGGTGATTCTGGCGGATGCTGCTGAGAAGGTTATGAAAATGACAGCACTATCTCTCTTTAGTTGCCTGGACAGATCATTCACCAAAATGATCGGGGCTTCAGTAAAAAGATATAATAGAGGTGCCCTGATTGTCTGAAACTTTAATTAATTTTAAACTAGGGAACTATTTTATAAAAATACAAGAATTAAGGGAAGATTGTGTGCGCACACACACAGAGAGAGGGGGGAGATAGAAGGAGGGAGGAAATCTATTTAAAGCAGACATAAACTCAAATAAATAATGACTTTACTATTTTAACCTGAAAATCATTCAACCCAAAGAACTTTCCAGATTCCTGACAATATATTTCTGGCCATGGACTTGAGCATCATAAATAATTCTAGCAGTCTGCTACTGCTAAAGCCTCCGAGGCCAGCTCTTTATAATTGCAACTCATTCTGCTCTTATCTGCCATATGTCAAAACCTACTCCAGATTAGCACTTTAATTGTAGTGCGCCATGCAGGTAACACCTGATGCCTCTCCTTGCAGTTTGCAACATTTGCATTTATCCTGACTTGCAGCAAATGTACAATGTTATGCCATGGCTTGTGACTTTGCAGAAGTGTGCAAGGCTAAGCTAATTCCCATTTGCTCTGTGTCTCACAAATAAATTGTTGCTTTTGATTATGGAAAATGAAGGAGGAGGAGAATATAGCTAAATTATACAAAATTAAAACAGGCAAGTCTGCAGGCTTACGATATTAATCATGCCTGGTTGTTTTAATAAATCAGCACCATCTTTCGATTACAAACTCTCTTTTTGAACAATATTTTTTGAATTTCACTGGAAAATGTTTCACCAGAGATTTATTGCTTTTAGATGTCATCAAATTTTGCAGAAGGAAAAAGAAGACACATTGAAATAAGTTGATTGCCATACAGAGCTACCTTTGTTTTTGTTTTTTGTTTAGCTCTAAAATTTTCTTGTTAGCTCAAATCAATGTCTGTTAAAATATCCAGGTTTGACTACATGGTGATTCAGGCAGCACTCTGGAGGGCCTTTTGAAATGTTTATGTGTTACTTTTTAATCTGCACCAGTCTGTGTTTGTCTATTATTCCCACAGATTTCTTGGTGCTAATAAAATATTACTGCTTCATCCCAAAGCATATAAAAATTTAAAAAGCGAGGTAGCAAAAAAAAAATTAAGCTATAAATTATTGGAGCTCCTTTCTATTTAGCTGCAATATTTTCATCTTGGAAAGTTGCGAGTACATTCTTAAGTGTTCCACTTTTCAGGCAATAGAATTCCGTTTATACCAATCTGTACAATTTTTAAGAGGAATTATTTGTTTTGTCTGTAATTCCTTGTTAAGCGTCCAGGTCTCTTTCAGCTATGATAATTTTATCCAAAGGAATGTTGTTATTATAATTCTTACATTTATTTATATCCCTCTTTTTCTCTCCATTCAGAGACTCAAAGTGGCTCACAACTAAAAGCATTGCAGTAAAACCTAAAATATACAAATATACAAGTATTAAAATAGCATTGAACATTATTTAAAGCATATCAAATCACAGCAGCCCCTGGGTATCTTAAAAACTTTCTTCTTTAAAAGCCTACCTGAATAAAAAGGTTTTAACCTGTGCCACCTGAAGGACAGCAGGAAGGGAGCTGTTCTGACTTCCCTGGGCAGGGAGTTCCAGAGTTGAGAAGCAGCCATGGAGAAGGAAGGCCCTCTCTCTCATTCCCAACAATTGAGCTTCAGATGTAGGTGGGACCAAGAGAAGGGCCTCCTCTGAAGGTCTCGGGGCCTGGGCAGACTTGCACAGGGGGATACAGTAGGCTAAACAGCCTAGGCCTGAACCATCTAGGACTTTAAAAGTTAAAACCAGCACTTTGAATTGTGCCCAAAAACAGATTGGAAGCCAGTGGAGCTGCTTCAACAGATGGCTAGTCCACTCCCTGCAACCAGTCCCAGTGAGCAACCTGGTTGTAGCTCTTTGGACATAGAGCAGATTACAGTAATCCAGACAGCACGTAACTAAAGGCATGGACCACTGTGGCAATATCTGCTTCTCAACGGGCACAGTTGGCGCACAAGTTTTAATTGTGCAAAGGCCATCCTGGCCACTTCTGACACCTGGGCCTCCAGGGCGGTTCATAACATGCAGCTGCAAACATTCAATGCTTTAAAGTGTAACTGAAAAAGCAAATAAATAAACCATAAATCAAATAATAACATATTAGACATCAACTTCAGACAGTAGTGGTACATTAAAATAAATTAGGTATCACACAACTAAAAATTCACATTTTGATGAATAAACATTTAAAACAAAACTTAAAAATTGAGACTAATAAGAGATAAACACTAAAATTTAAAAGCCAGAGTAACAAGCCATTTCCAGATTTCATTCCATTTTGTTTATTATTGCAGTTTCATATATCCACACAAAAAGTCTAGGAACATATCCCCATGAATACAAAGGATTGTGATGTATTTCCTTCTTTTATTGCACTAAAATGTATCACATGACATTTTAAATATTTGGAATGGGAAACCTGACCATAATTTTCTTTTCTATAGGACTTAATATGACTGAAGGTTCAAATTCATCAAACCAACCACATGGAACAAATAGCAGTTCTGTGGCCATTGCTATTCTCGTGCCTTTCTTTGCCCTTATTTTAGCAGGATTTGGGTTTTACCTTTATAAACAAAGGTAAGTTGTGTCTGTGCAGCTGTGCAGCTGTGCATACTGTTCAGCTTCATAAGTTGTTGCTGCTGTTGTGCAATTTTAAAGTGGATATGGAAGGAAGTGTAGGATTTCAGCTTAGTGTCCTTGTTCCTTGATTTGAACAAGTTTATTTATATCTAGCAGTATATGCCATATATGTGCCCTTAAAGATGACCCTATCTCTAAATCTGGGTTCTTTCATAAATAGAAGCCTGAACAGAATGCAGTTGACATCTCAGGTTGTGAAAAATATATTTATCTTTGAGTAAGGCAAGGGTGAGTCTCCAGGAGAGGTGCTTAATCTGGGTTGAAGTCTAGGGATCCATAGTGATTAATTTTTTTTTATCTGCAGATATAGTATGTTTTATGAAGGGCTTCCCTGAGATCTTCAGAGGTTTCTCTATAGCAAAACATTGATCGTCATTGCTTTAGTGGCCATATGTTTTGCTGTTTTTCTGTAGGTTGAAAGCAAACCCAAATGAGTGAATTCTTTCTATTATTGTTCAATATCTGTCTTAATTAATTAAAGTTGGGCCTATCACTAAACCTGTCTGCCTTCCCATGCTACTAGCACCTCCCAAGTGAATCACTGCAGATACAAGAAAACAATTTTTGTTCTTTTCTCCCAGTGGCAGAGCTGAAGCGAAATACTGTTAATTCACCTGCTGCTCTCTCTGAGCTCTGGGACAAATATGAAAGCCTAGAAGAAATATATTTTTTTCCCTCAAGTATATGTTGCTCCTAGGTGCCTGCTGACTCAATCCCATGTGGGAAAGCATTGCCATGAGGCTTGATTCCAATGAAGCCCTGTTGTTCCTTGTGGATCACAGGGAGGCTTTTGTGTTGGTGGTGCCAGCATCCCACCATGCTTCTGCCCCAGTTTCGCTATAGAACCCCACCAGAAGTCACCCTACATCATCTGATGAGTGGCGTGAGGCCCATGGGTGAACTGGAGCAGAAGTGCACTTTTTTGCCATATGTGATAAGGTTGCAACTTTGGTTGAATATATAACCTATTAAGAAGCATGATAGATTTCAAATTGTTGTTGTGAACCCTACTGAAGTAGGGGACAGAACAGTGGACCTTATTCATCTACAGGTTCCAAGCAAGAATGGTAAGAATGGGAGGAGAAAGGTTGGAGATGGGAACCTTGGAGATGGGAAGTTGTTTCAGTATCTTATTCCTGGAACAAGAATAAGATCCCTTCCACACAGCTGAATAAAATCCCACATTATCTGCTTTGGACTGGAATCTATGACAGTGTGGACCCTGACAACCCAGTTCAAAGCATATATTGTGAGATTTTCTGCCTTGATATTCTGGGTTATATGGCTGTATGGAATGGCTCTGAAGCTATATGGGAATCAAACTCAGTATTATTATTTACCCTGAATAGCTTTCGTCTGTCCTCAATATGACCTTTACATTGAATTATTTAGTGTGACTACCTCCTATTCTTCTATTCAAGATAAATTGGGACTCCTTTGCAAAACATCTAGTTTTATATATGCATGCATAACATTACTTTAGAAGTGTCAGGGAAGCATGATAAGTAGACTTATTGTTCTACACTATACCTCCATCTTATTTAAACTGTTATAAATTATTCTCTCTAAAGAGGGTCAACATTGTTCAAAATGCTCTGAACAATGCAATAAAGATGCATTACCTTGCATTGTTCCTATATATAGCTTTTGACATTTAGAATATTATGTCACATATTTCCTGCATAATTTTTCCTGTACCCAACCTAGTTTACTAGATCGTAAATGCATAGAATGGATTTATGTCTGTAAGAGGCTGATTCACAAGCTGTTTTGCTCATATTCATTGCCTATTCAACCATTATTTCATTTATGTTGCCATCATAAACCTTGTATTAACATATATCTTATTGTCCTATATCAATGGATCACTTTATACAAAATATTTAGGTGTGACTTGATAGTTCCTTCGTAGCTATCATATTCAAAGATTATGCTATGACCATTAATAGGCTTAGATTTACAAGTACAAGTAACCCCTTTAAACTATCATTTTGAACTTTGTTTTCTATGACAATTTTTTTCTGAGGATAAGTCACATTTTCTGTATTATCTATTATCAGGTATTGCTGGGTCAAATATTTACAACTGTAAAGCCCTATGAAGGAGAGTAAAATAGTATATACTTGAACGTGTGATAATAGTGAGCATGGTAGTTCCACTTCACCGTACTGCATCCAAAATCACTGAAGAGTGATGAAATGCTGTATTTGTTAAGGATATTTTCTTCTTCAATCAAGAACTCCTTTTCTAGGGTTCTGGCTTGCATGGGGAAGTTTCCACACATAGCAAATAGGCTCTCTTTTTCAGACCATTCCTAACCATGTGAAAAGAGCAGCAATAGAGGCAGCTGTGCTGACCTGTTTATCCCCTTCATATGTTCATGGGCACATTCTCAATACAGAATTGTATCACTGCTTGCCCATTTTAATTGCCATGGTTGGGTCTAATTGGATCCCAGGGCTAGTAGTTTAACAAGGGGTCCAGTGCTTCACAAACCTCGGGATTCCACAAGATGGAACCATGGTGGCTAAATTGGAATAATAGTATTCTAATTCTGAAGTGTGATGAAGCACAAATTAATCATATCTTCAGTGTCTGAACAATGTCTAGATTTGTACACAAGGAAATATGCATTTTCAGTAGGTAAATCATTTTTCAGGAGCACTTTATTCAAGTCTTCAATAATGACAAAACTCAGACAAAGATATAGAGAAGTCTATTGATCACATCTCTAATCTATACCTTATGGGTTAATTTAGACACTGCAATAGTTTCCTGCAGTTCTAACTATTTTGTACATACTCTACAATGGGTGTGGGGGTGGGTGGACGAAATACATTAGTGATCTGAAGAAGTGGACTGTAATTCATCTAAGCTCAGAGTAAAATAAATCAAGGAGACATAAGACTCCTTCTCTCCTTTCTATTTGTATTTGTAATGAAATGAACTCAAGGAGCTGTTGACTTGAAAAAGTAAACTCTACATTTTTTCAATACATAAATAATATTTTGTTTTCCTCTTCTCTTTCTTTCTCCCCAGAACTGCACCTAAAACTCAATATACAGGCTGTTCTGTACACGAAAATAACAATGGACAAGCTGCTTTCGAAAACCCTATGTATGACACCAATGCAAAATCTGTTGAAGGGAAGGCCGTACGATTTGATCCCAACTTGAACACAGTTTGCACAATGGTATAACATTGTGAAGACCTGACTTCTGTTATCAGAAAACTGAAACACAACACAGTGAACACATCGTTCATTGATTTTTTTTAAAAAAAAACTAAATGAAAAAATTTAAAGCACACTTTTCAGGATTTCCTGGGTCACCATCTCCTGAAGATGCGAGAGAAGGAGAGACAAGAGTAGGTTTCTTTTTTCATGAACTGGAAAAAAATATATTGACTTCATGATTACAGTGGAGTGTTTTACAGAAAGTCTGCTGCACTCCATGAGTGCTTACTCAGTTTATTTGCTTTTTTAAAAAAGAAGACTATTCTAAAAAAATAAAAAATAAAAATAAAACATATTTGCATATATTGGAGGAGCATCCACTATCAGTACTTCTGTGCTTTATAAACTATGCTAGAGGGACTGGGTTTAAAACAACAAAATAAATGATATATGGTAGAAATTAAGAGTTATTTACAGGAGACCACAAGGGTTACTGACTTCTCTTGAACAATCACAAACCATATCTTCCCCTCCTCTCCCCCCGCAAAAAACCCCAAAATCTGTTTCTATTCTCTTCCAGTTCTATCTTCCCTTTTAGGTACATTTTGTGTCTCTTGCCCTACTCCTGGGTACCTATGAATTTCTTAGATTATGCTGTGACCATTAATAGGCTTTGGTTTGCAAGTTCAGCCTATTATTTCTATGCCATGGTGGTATAATTATAAGTCATGTCTCCTTTATTTCATGTGTTTAATTCCTTGCACATTGTCAGCTTTCACTGCTTGCTTCATGCTAATTTCTCCTGTGTCAGTCAGCTTCCATTCAGTCACATTATTTCCCCCCAAAACCACCAATCTGATAACAGTCTCAAAAGAGTGGAGATGTGCTGTACTAATTAATTTGAGTTTTGCAACTCTTCAACAGTCTATGATGTTGAAGGCTTTTCTCAAAATTCCCATTAAACATTGTTCCCTTCCCTGTACAGGAATTTGAAATCTCCACTCCACTGGCAAGTCAAATGTCTTTGTTTTGAAATTTTCATATGAGCAGAAACCATTATGGTACAATAATGTTACCACCTAGTTGAATCCCCACCACGAAATAGAGACTAGACACAAGATATGGAGAAATCATGGGGCATTTATTGACCTAATTAAAAACTGGTAATTGAACTAAATGACTAGTTGTGGGGGTACACTCCATCATGGGCAATAGCATGAGGCCAGATATCATTCCCTGACCACCTGCCAAGCCAACTACTGGGCGAAGCACTTGACTCCGAGGGTACTCCACATTGATGGTTGGCTCTCCTGGCCAGTCATTACTGGAAGGCTGTCTCTGGGGATCTCCCTCCCAAGCAACATAACCCAATAGGACAGAGGTAAACCCCCCAAGTAAGCCCCAATGAGATATTTTGGAAACCCCCTAAGCCATATAACTTATAGAGGTTGACCCAAAAGTTCCCCTTCACCCCAAAATGGAGGGGTGCCAAGGTGTGCATTAATCCATGTTCTCCCCCCACTTCCTGCCAGTGAGACCTATTTATGACAGCTTCAGCCTTTTAAAATCCTTACTCCCAGCAGCTTCAATATGGGGTAGGCAAAAAAACCCTTCCTCTTGAGGAGGGAAAAAATCCTACCTGACCCTACTGTGACCAGTATCACCTCATATTGAAGTGAAGTGGAGGGGGGGGGGTAGCGCTGCCAAAGGCTGAATGCAGCAGGGAGGGGCTAACTACAGAAAGTTTACTTTAAGCCCCTCTCCTCTGCAAACTGGTGAGAACACCAATCTAGGAAACCTGGTCTTGTCAAGGTGGAGGATTCAAAGGCTCCCCTCCGGTCATACAGTTGGCCCTTCTGTCCAGAGGCGAATTATAATAATGCATATTAAGCATTATATTTCACATCCTACTCAGACATCTGCACTACAGGTCCTGCTTCCACACTGTGTTAAATGCTGTACACAGGTTATGATTAAAGGTCAGAGAAACTGCAGCCATTAAAGTATACACTTTAATCCATTAGTACATTTAATTCTCCAGTGCATCCATGGAGCATCACCTCCACTTTCCCAGATCTTCCACATTAATTCCAGTAGATGCAGCAGCATGGTACACTAATGGAATTTCATATTAGTTGGAAACCATAAGGATTTTCATTGAGAGTCAAGAGCACATAGCTCTCTGAACTTTTATTCTCTCTACTGAAATTATTTTATAGTGTATTCTTTTGGAAGTGCATTTAGCCTAATCTTAATAAATTATTTTTTTTTCTAATTGGGTCTTAGATCTTCAACTTACTTCTATGGCAAATAAATTGTAATTGATTTAACAAATGTATAGCTCAAAAACTAGAATATGTTAATTTTTCCCTACATTTTAGAAACTGATAAGTAAATATTACCATATTTACTTGAGTCTAACACACAACTTCTTTAGCTAAAGTACGTTGCTAAAATTGAGATAGGCACTAAATTTGATGATGCATTAAAATCGCTCATCTAAACTTGTCTGTATTGAGATCCTAGCTGGGAATGGAGGAGGGAGAGGCAACAGTGACCATGAAAATGCAGGTGGGGTACTGATGGTGGTGCAAAATGGCTAGGGAGGCCAAATGGAGGGGCACAGCTTCCCACCAGCCTTTTTGTGGCCACTACTGGCTTCCTACCAGATCTTACAGAGAAATATGGCTTCCCTACAGATTCTTCATAGCCACCACCTCCTTGCGTTACATTCCATAGCAAATCCATTTTTTAAAAAAATTTGAGGCACACATTACATTCAATAGTGCATTATATTCCAATAAATACAGATATTTGTTTATATCATTAAAAGAAACCAATCTTCCCATGGGGAGAAATAATTTTGCAATGGCAAAGTTTGCCTCATTATAAAGAACTCTGCCAGGAATTAGTGATTTCAGTGGGTATACTGAATCCTTTGCCAAAGCAGTGCCTGGCATTACTGTGGCTGCAAATGGTTATGCCAGCACAAATACTTTAAACACAGAATGTTTAATCCAGTTCCCAACCCAATTGAGCCAAAGTATTTGGATTAAATTTGAATTGGTCCTGTAGATTTCAGTCTGTTTGATTTCAGTCTCATTACAGTTCATCAATAAAATGTTCTTCATTGAGTTTCACTGGTCTTTGGTTTGAGTCCCCCCTCCCAAAAACCCCCCACTGTGCTTTATCATAATATGAAATTTTAGTTATTTTTGGAATGTAAATTAGTATTTATGTTCATAATATAAATTCTATTGAGTTACAATTTATTCATCTGCAGTAGTACAGTGTATATAAGGGTACAGAAAGCAAAATACAGTATCCTCTCTTTTTGTCTGAGCTAAGTAATCATAGGCCCATTTTGTTCTTCTATAAAAGAATGCAATTTTAGTTTTCTCATTCCATAACCGAATTATCAAATGACAGTCTGAGTAATTCTCTGCCATAGTTCATGGTCTTACTTTGATAGCATGAAATCATTTTGGACTCATCAATGCTGTACATGAGCTGGTGTGAATTACCGAGCAGTACTGTCTCTTCCCACACATAACGTTGTGAAAATCAAATTTTATTAACATTATAGAGAGTGCCTACCAAAAGAAAAAGAAATGAAATCTTCCCCATGCCCTAATCCATAATTATACCCAGGATTGCTGCTTGGATTTCTATGGTGTTTAATGGATTTTCTTAGAAATCATTTTACAAACTTTTGTTTGGAGAACTCATACACTTCTGTCCAGGAACTGTCTTCTACTAAAAGAATGCCATTTTTATATTTTATACCATCAGTTTGTTATTTATTCTTGTTTATTCCAATGATTGCAATAATGATGATTCATTCATTAATGTTAAGGTTAATACATTTGAGACCTTGTTTGAAATCTTGTTTCTTCTGCAACTGGCTACTCCTCTTATATTAATGCATACAATTTTGTAAAGAAGTCTATTTTTATGAAAAAAAGAATTTGTAAAAGTATGATGTAAATTTTCAGTGCAATGTAAACAAAATAAAAATGAATAATTGCTTTTGTAATATTGTGTGTCCTTTCAAAGAGAACATATAAATACATAACAGGTAGGGGTACTGAAAATTAATAAAACTCATGGTGAAAAATTAATATATTGCTGTGGAGAGGCTCAAATTACAGTTATTTCTTCCTTGTGGCATACTGGTATATTTAAAAATATTAGCAAAAAAATTAAATTACTTTGGGAAATAGAAATGAATCCATCTTTATGAACTTCAATACTCTGTTTAGGACAGAGATGATTCATCGTAATACATTATAAATGTGAATTAATATTTTTTACATTATTATGTGAGCTTAAGTAAATAACTAAACACATAAACAAAAGCCAGGTCCCCATTAAGGGTGGAAGGAATATTTAAAAATTGTTTTAATTATATATATCAAATGTTGGGAAACTGGAGTAATGAGAATGCCCATGGACTTTTGATGAATTATGGTGACATACTTATTTACTAAATTGCAAATCACTTTTCTGGTCACTGAAGAGTTAGGAATTCACTAACAACTATGTAATGACCAGAATGCCCCATCCCACTTTATCACACTGGTGTTCCTTGTACACTGCTTTGATGGCAATGCAGACTCATATAATCTAGTTCAAATCAGATAATCTAGGATCAGATCCTGGGATGTAGTGCTGTGTAGAAGGAGCTGCAGACAAACATCCCCCAGTAAATTGGGGGGGGGTATCATTTGCAGGGACTTCAAGAGGAACCCCCAAAGTTTCCATAGGTATCTGTTGTTTCCTACTTTGTACTAACCAGAATATTTTGGAAGCTGCAATGGAGAAAATTGTTGGTCTGTGGAGGTTGGAGATGATCATAGATGTGACTTACAGCTACATCTTCAGATGGAAGGGAGGAGTTAATGAGAAAGCAAATTCAGGTTGAGTTAGAAGAGGGAACAGAAAATGATGAGATTCTCACATTATACTTTAAAGAATTGGCATCCCATTTTAAATCTTGTGCCTGCCTCCTGCAGAATGGTGGGGTTTGTAGTTGAGGGAGGCTCAAGACTTCTCGGTTTGAGAATTTTAAGGGCCCCCTCCCTAAACTACAAATCTAAGTATTCAGCAGGAGTCAGCCATACAATTTAAAGCAGGACACCAACTCATTAATGGTGTTGTGTGATAATCCACGGAGACTTCTAATTTCATAAGCTCTTACACAAAACTGTATCAGTCTGCTCTCTATACCTTTTCTGTTTCCCAAAAATCATGTGCTTTTACAAACAACTGTTTCTATATAGATACAAGTTTATCTATGTATCTATATAGAACCATATGTTTTTTTTGTTATCTTCTTTGAGATAGCCATACTTTACTGAGTATATGCAGCCTGTTGGTGATTGAGGTCCAGGGCAGTGATATTTCCAGCCACTGCCACCAGTGAATGAGTCTGCAATAAAGAACTGTATGGGGTCTTGCTCTCAATTGTCACAGTCTTGCTAATTAGAGAGGACAGAAACATCGTCTGCCGAGCCCTTGATTGCTAGCAGAACAGAGCTCTTTTTCTTGTTACATCTTATACTCAGAAAAGTTGATTTGGAAGAGTACCGCTGATAATCTTCATAGCTGTTAATATAAATATGTTAATTCTCTATTTTCTCCATTCTAGTGGATGTTGCAAAAATCTATTTTTAATATTTGTGGTGTTAACAGATGAAGGATTTCCCCACCGAGATGACAGGAAGATTCACAGCTGCCTCTGGAATCTGCACAGCTTTTATTGAAAAGTGCACAGCTTTTTCAGCTGACATATTGAATACTAGGGGTTTTGCAACTCTCCCTCCCATCTCTCTTTTACTGCAAAGTTGCACAGAAATTGAGAGCCATGAAAAGATGTTACAGCTGTCAAACCAGCTGTGACCTGTATAAAAGGAAAGAAGATGGCAGATAGTTGCCAGGATTTTTGCGAAACATTGGGGGGGGGGGGGGGGGGGGGGGGGGAGAGCTGTGGAAGACAGTTACAGATGGTGGAGAGTTGTGAATGTTTAGCACTAACAATCTAGTTTTTGTTTTTCATGTAACTTTATTTTAGTCAAGTTCCTGTCCTGACAAGAGCCTGTGAAAAGACATTTTAGTTGTCAAACTATCCAGGGAAGAATAAACTTTTCAAGGCATTTTGTGAGAACTGGAACTATTCTTTAATGGGGATGAGATTGTGGAAGTTTGGCAGATGAGAATCTGGTTTCTGGTTTTCAAACAATTTTCCTTCTCCTAAGCCTCAGTGGTTCAGTGTGGAAAACTGACAGGAGGAATGGGTGAAGAAACTAAAATAATTTTTTACAATCCCACCTAATCTTTCACAGTAAGTTGCTAGAAGCTACTGTTCTCTGATAAAAGATTTTCAACTTTCTAGGAACTGTCTTCTGTTCAGTTTCCCCAGTTGGTTTGACTAATATAACACCTTCTCTCACCTGATAATTTCTGCATAATTTGGCAGGTGGGAGCGGGAGATCAAAAGTTGTGGAAAAACAGTACCAAACATGTTCTATACCTAGTATGTGTCATAGAAAAGCATAGAAAATTGAACAATTCTTTACAGAATATTCCTCGACTATTCCAGAGTGTCAAAATCAACTCTGGATCAGCCCTAGGACGGTTCTTACCACAAGTCCATAGGTCACTTTTAAGGCAGAAGGGAATCCTTACCCTGACCATCCAGTAATGCCCAATATGTTTTGGCATTGCTGGATGGCCACCTTTACCATTCCCTTCCTATTCTCATTGTAGCAGTGAGCACTGGATGTGATGTGAATGAACTGAAGTTCCATCTGCTGGGTCAGCAGAGTGACACACTAAGTGGTCTTGGCCCTTGGTAATCCAAATCAGCTCCATGCATCTGGAATGTCCTTGCAGATGTGCCCTGGGAAGAGAGAAAAACATTCCAGAAAAGCTGTAGGAACTTTGTTATTTTTCCTTCCTATACCACTTCCTGCAGGAATTATTTCTTCCCAAACCAACTCCAGCACTGATTTGGGAAACTAGTGAATTCCCATGTGGGACTGTGAAAGTGGAGCAATTACCTATATGTAACCGCTACTCATTGGTATCTGTGATACTGAATGCTAGCCATAGTTTTATACTGAAAATATAATAAATTAAATTGACTGTTTGGAGGTAATTACTGTACAGTGCTACAGACAATTAAAATAGTTGTATTTTCGTTGTTTGGTGACCTTTGTCATATGTTTTTCTAAGATCACAGTAATATTTCCTTCTCCGACTCTGCCATTCATGAAGGTGTTTCAAACCATCTGCTCTATGAAACATTATTTGGCAACTAGATCTGTTAAGCTGCCATTTTAGTATTCTTCAGGTGTGCATTGGGGTAAATTAAAATGTCAGTGCCAAGCTAGCTGGTTCTGAGCACAGGACTGGTTCCATGTTATAAGAAAAATAAAAGGATTGTGCTAGTGTAGAAAAATACCAACTAAGGCCTACCAGGTGGTAATTTGCCACATGATCTCTAATCTAGAGATAAACATGAATGGAAACCTTTTAGTGCAATTTATCTGAAATACTGCAATATATATATATACTTATTGCCTCCTCTTTCTCCTATTTTTTTAATATAAGTGGTGAGCTGCTTTATACTAATGCCTTCAATAGATGTGTGCTTTGCAGTTGCTGGATTTTTTTTATTGTTTCATCTACATGGATATTTATTGCACCTATTTTGCACAAATTGATGGACAATTGTTAAGTACGGGATATTTTATTAGCCTCTCAGGAGACCCTGGGAGATTTTTTCCCATTCTACTACCTAATATTCTCCCCCCCCCCCTAAAAAGTCTCCTCAAGCCTCCTAGAACCAGGACAACTCCTTTTTCCTATCATGAAGATACTCTGGGATTACTTATTCTTTATTTCCTATTGTAAATAAAGGCCTCTCTTGGACCATGGGATCCAGAACATATTTAAAAAGAAATTTCCCCAAGACTCCACAAATGCCACATGGACTCATTGGGGGAATGAATAAAATTTAAGTATAAGTGTGTCCATGCACACTTACACTAGATGATCTAAATATAAGATAACATCAAGAGTTGAGCAAGTGGCTTTCTCACACATTCAATTTTTAAAGACTTCCAAATTCTATCCTCAGTACAAATAAATATCTACATTTTGAAATATTCTTCAAAGGTGATTAGAAAAAAATTCTTTTGAATCTCCACTAGCCAGTTCCAGTATCTATATCTACATTTAGTCCCAGCATGGAGACAATCATGTTGTACCTGTGATAAAGCTGTGACAGATGAGCTACCATTGAAAAGGGTGAGTTATCATTACAAAAAAAAAAAGTAGCTATATTTCAGCACTGACATAGCTGTGTATATAGAGACTATTTAGGACTTTGAATATATGCATTGATTGTAGTGCCTTTTAAAATAAATAAATAAATAAATGCATTTCACATTCATTCTAACCTGAACAGGAAGAAATTTACAATTTGTGTTAAATTCTTAGAAAATTAACTTAAGTTGTGAGGAGAGGCAGGCAAGAAATATTATTATTATTATTATTATTATTATTATTATTATTATTACTATTACTATTACGATTACTATTATTGTTATGCTCAGCCATACTTAACAGGAACCAACCATAAAAATACACAGTGGCCATTGTTTCATCTTTTAACATTTGAAATTGCAGATTTGCCTGCCTTAAATGGAATCGGCAAAGAGATATTGGAAATACTGTACTGTAAAGTGACAGAGTTAACTTTTTTTATATGTATGGTGTAAAATTCAACTTTCCCCAGGTAAGCACTTTCTGCTGGCAGTAAGTAGTCTTTTATTATACAGGGGAAAGTGCTTGGAAACATGGTACTCTTTCATTTACATAATTGATACAATACTAGGGGAGAAATATTACATACTTCTTTCAATGTGGGCTTTAAATGCCTTATTTTATGAGTCCCTACTGAATATTTTTACTTGTTTCACAAATGTTCAAAAGCCTATGCAATAAAAAACTTTAATTATCTTATTCCTT